CACACGTGCTCCTCAGCAACACCTACCTCTTCCCCCAACCACACATCCTATGATTCAAATTCTTCCGCTGATTCCGAATATGCTATTTATTTTTCTCTTAAATTGATCAATAATTATAAAAACCCCTAAGCATGAACAGATTCTTCATATTTTGTCTTATAGGGCACCAACTGTAGTCCCTACTACGTATCCATGCACGTCTTTTATCTTTTCAGTAATATATGAAAAGATGCAGAATTTCACGCACTATCAGAATATGTTACTCCCTTTTTATTAGTTCATTTTTCTAGTTAAAATCTTCAGAAAAATAAAATAGGAAAAAGACAAAAAATGCAATTCGAAGAAATCTGATGATAAATGTGTCTTTTGTGTGCTTGAAACTATTTTAGCGAATAAGTGCAATCGAATATGTATATATATGGGATTCTAGAGAATTTCATACACTATCAGAATATATAATTGCTTTTCCTAAAACATCAATTTATAAAAATGAAATATTAAAAATATTGAATACAGCTTTTTTTTTTCAAACCGAGATTTTCGATAAAAAACCATATATTGTTGAAAAACATTTCTATAGAAAAATTCAATTCTACAAGTTTTTGAAAACACCAGCCTATGCATTTTGATGTGCTCTTTCAACTGAAACCAGTCTCGAGCTATTCTACTGCGCTGATTCGACCAACTTGCCCTATACACTTGGGCATACTTTCTGAAAATGGAATATGATGCGAAACAAAAATTACTCACAATGAAACAGTTTCATTACCATGAAAAGATAGCCCATAGTCGATAGCATATATGGTGAAAAAATCTCACAGATAACTCTTACTGTTCTTTAGAAAATGAAAATTTACTGAAAAATACTGCACTGCAAAATATTCAAAACTTAGCTGATCACCACTACTTTCACCGTCTATATCTCCAGAAGGGCTCATCCATTTGAGCTGAAATTTTTATTTTCTTCCTAACTTTGTTAGGTCTATCTATTGTAAAAATATCAGCCAAATCGGTGAGATCGATTGAGCAACGTTGGTCGTGGCTTACGTGCAATGCCTCATAAGGATATCTCATACATGTTTCATTTATAAACATCTCTTTCGTTCAGACAATAGATATTTACTTACATGTAGTGACATGCAAAAATATTGTTCTATATCCCTCATTACACAAAACATTATCTTATATATTTCATCATAAAAAATATTATTGTAAACTTCTCATTATATAAGATATTGTAATATGTACTTTATTATAAAGAATATTGTTGTAAATCTCTCATCATATAAAATATTACTCTATACCTCTCATTACATAAAATAGTGTTTTATACCTCCTACCATAAAAAATATTATTTTTATCTCTATTTCTATATATCCTTCTTTAACTCTTAAATATCAAATTTTATTTCACCATCTTAATTCTCAAACGCTAACCATCGATTTTTAATATTCTACCAATTCTCAAACATGAACTCTTGATTTCCAATATGTTAGCAACAATTTCTTAACTTTCAACTTTTGCTATTACATTAATTCTCGATTCTTAAAAAAAAAATTTTTTTTTTCATTATCTCGATTCTTAACTGCTAAAAAGAGATATCATCTCAATTTTATTACCTGATCTCTGAAATCTCAAATATTGAATACCAATTTTTTATCGAAAATATCAATTTCTAATTCTCAAAAACTGTACCCATCATCAATATTAATATATGAATTCATTGAATATTATTGTATAAATTCATATAAGAATACTTTTATACAATTTAAACATCATCACATAATTGTTTTTCATCTTTAGGCGATTCATTCGTCCCTTTTCTCTCTTGTGTTTACACACTTAGCTTAAAATTCGCTATTTGTTTGTTTTTTTTTCTTTTTCTAACTATTTTTTCTCATGTATCACTCATGAAAATTTGTATATGGCCTGACGAAGAAAACATTCGAAACGCGTTGCTTATTATTACTCTTCTTTATTTCTAATTCAAATAAACTAAATTTCTTCTTTAATTCATCTCCAGATTTCTTCAATAACAAAAAATCTATTTATATATATATATATATTATATACTTATACCAATCCATATTATATGTGAAACAATTTCCTCTAGTTTCAATAGTTCATTAAAACAAATAATTCTATTTTCGCAACAATTGATTCGAATTTATATTGCATAAATAGTTCAAGCGTCACCAATTCTTAATCGACGAATCGAATCGATTTACATTAAATAACAGAAAAATATTTTTTTTTTGAAAAACTTCATACTACTTGTCGGTTCGAAAATAAAATAAAGTCATCGTCAAAGAAATCATATAGTCATTATCATTATATAAAAATCTTATGATAATATCAAATTCAAAAAAAATAAAATTACATTTTGGTTCAAATCATCTATATTTATGTTCTGATAATGCTCTTGTTTATGATCGAAAACTCAACAAATGATATACATCTATAATAAAAACATTAGATTGGTTAAAACATTTTCCTATTATTGATAAATCAAGCATTGATTTTCTTTTGATATATTATGTTGCTCTGTATGTTAATGAGTAAAAATTCCATGTTTTTACTATTAAAATTAGTTCACGTAAGAAGAAAAACATATTGGTAGAAGAATGAGCTAGTGATATATATATATTGTTGTGTCCATAATAAAATGTTGTTGTGCATAAGAGGCTTATTTATAAGTTAAATGCAACAGAGTTTACGATTATCTAACTAAACTCACCTGCCACTCCAGTGCGATACAAACATAACAACTAGATTGAGTCATACGCAAGATGAAATTTTCGATAGTTGGAAAACTCTATAACGAACGATGAGTAAAGAATGACAAAGTTTGTACTGGATGAATAACGCACTAATATATTAGCAGAAAGTCAAGCGCTGGAAAATATGTAAGCGTAAAGAAAAGAAAGAAAAAGATACGTGTAACGCAGAGATATTGTTGCACAACTGTAGTGTGTGGCATGAGAAATATTCCAAGCATGCGATTGGAAAAATCCAATTATTCAATTTTCAGTATATAAATGTGCAGTAATAGATCGAGAAAAGCTAATCTACTGTCTAACTACTTACACTAATCAACTCGAGTTTTAAAGAATAAGTAAGCTTCTGTTGTTTTCTGATCCTATACTAACTTATTCATTTCTCACTTTATAGACAACAACAATGAAATCCTTCTTAGGTATTGTTCTTTCTGTTCTATTACTTAGTCAGTTACAAAAACAAATTGATGGCGGTCCAGTTTCTGGTGCTACATGTTGTGCGGGCTGCTGTGCAACAGCTATGGCCGTTCCATTTCTTGGAGCTGCAGGATTTGGTGCCTGTCTACCAACATGTATTGCAACAATGGGTGAATTTCCACCACATTGTGTATTTTGTGCGGCAATATTTCTGGCGCCAACGCCATGAAAATTGATGGATGATTCCAAACCTTCTAGAATATCCTTTATTCTCTTACGTTTTGTATATTTTCTTTTCTTTGTTTTAATTTTCTTTAATAAAAAACCAGAAAACAAACAAGTGAAATACGTATTTATAAATTATGAAACAGTCGCTTTTGAATGTTAAGACAAACCAGGTAATTAAAAGTCCTTGTTCACACTAAGTTAAAATGTGTCATGCTTTGCGACACATTTTCTATTGGTTCTTTTGGAAAACATATTTCGATGTCTCTTTCAATTTAATTCGTGTGCAACACATTCTAAACACGACACAATAATTCACGACACTTTTAAGTTTAGTGTGATTGTCTCAGCTAATATTTTGAAATGAGTTTGAGAAATGATATTAGTAGGCATCGTCTTAAAACAAACTATAAATGAGAAAAAAAATTTGAGAAGAGATAAAAAACAGAAAAAAATCAAATTATTTATTTGGTTATTAATGTTTCTGATGTTGTTGTTGAAAGTAATTTTAAAAACTCAAGTGATTTATTTAGTTTATGTATTTTGTTTAATTTGTTTTTAATTCATTTATTCTAAAGCCAAATAGATAAATGACTAAGTTTAAACATTATTTGAAAATCATCATGAATGAATGAATGGATAGTCGACTAAAAAAAAAACCTAGCATCGATTGAATATTCATAAACACCATTGACATGTCTGGTCTTTCTGTTAATAGATGGTGCTAGATTATATCTTTGCAAAATAAGACTGTATAAATAGAAAACCTTATCATCAACTAAAATTCTTATAATTAAAATATAGTCTTTGCTACATGTTCAATAGGTATATATTTCGATCTTGTAAATACTTAAAATAAATCTAAAGAAATTATTTTGTGCTAGTGTAGGTGAATGTGGATCAAAGCACTTCGTTTATTAACATCTTCCCATCTAGAGTCACACTCACACTCACCACATAATATCTACTGACTATGTTGGAAAAAAAAAAGTTTAATAACTTCAACATCAATAAGAACAAAACGAATAAATTCTTTTTTATCACATTTCGTTTTTGCTTTTTCTTCGGATAAAAATGTATTTTATTACTGTTTTTTTCTATCTCTTACTTGTTTGATGTGCAAAAACTTTGTTAACATTTTTCAGATGAAGGATATACAAGTTTTTTAGTGAGAAAGTAGATACACACATATTATGATAGAAACTGCCTATTAAAAAACTGTCAACAACATGAAGAAGTTAGGTTTTGAGTGTTGATTTAGCGAATATATATATATACACATCCACGTCCTTATATGATCAGAAAATAGATTGTCAAAATAACAAAGTAAGTCTCTCAACAACTACAGTCATTCACTATTCTGATTTCATATATGAATATAATTTTTGAAAGATATTTATCCTTTGATGAAAAGATTTTTGGATGAGACCAAAAGTCATTCATGCTGGTATGAAAAATAGTATAAATCCAAATTGATCAAAATATTTCTGAATAGTTCTTCATCTCTACATCATAAGACTTTATTTAGAAAAATTTAAATCAGAAAAAAAATGCTATCAACTTCTTCAATCTGTATTGGACTTATTTAAAAAAGATTGGATGTTGACAATTAATTAAAAACTCATTATAGGGTGTAACTATGGGTGGTCAGTTTGCTTGTATGGGTCTAGATTGCGGGTATTCTCTTTATATGCACTCGCACAACCACACTCAATACTATGTTACTGTGTATTTTTAAGTTTAATCAATGATTTTCCTGCTATAAAACTAAAACATAGTATATTCGAAAAGCGTTTGGTTTTAATTTTATCATAATTTCAAACATAGGTTATTGCATTTTCATTTGCCACTTTTAGAAGATGAATCATTGAATTATTGTTTCATTTCTTTCTCAACATGTGGTTGAATAAATATGCGAGCACTTTCTTTTTTCTTTTCATTCTATACATTGCACGTACAACAACTCATGTCTAGTAAAAAGAATTCTTATTTTCAAACAATACCTGTTGAGCTTATTCATCGAATTTTTGGTTATCTTGATGCTCAGACAATTATCTGTTTAATACGATATGTGTGCAAACGGTTCTATTCCATTGCTAATGCCTATGATCGCTACGAGTTGAACTTTCGGTATATGTTAAAAACTGATCTATATCTCATAGCACGAATTATTGATCCTAAAAATGTCATTTCACTTACGCTTTCGAATGAAATGCAGACAACAGGTCAAATTCAATTATTTCTTTTCTACTTTCGTATTACCCAATTTATCCGACTACGATCATTGAATCTCATCAATGTTCACAATAGAGAGTTAAAGGAATTTCAAAAACATATGAAATGTTCCCTTACAACATTTTCAATTACGCTTTCAAAGTATGATGACGATGATCCAACAGCATCAATATCATCTATCATATCACATAATAATCTTCGTAAGTTTAAGCTCGAAAATAACAATCAAGTTCTCTATGATATACAATAGCCCATTCAATGTGGATTACAACAGATAACAATTTATTGCTGCAATTGGATTACAATTTATTCTATTCTTAGACACTTACCATATCTACAAACATTCCGCGTAAAATATATTTATCGGAACTTACGCGATTCTCCTATTGTTATAGATTCTGATAGTCCGCAATCCGAACATTTAACTTCGTTCTTGTTAGAGAACTGTCTTGACATACGAATGATCGATGTTGAATCCCTTCTTTCACTATTACCTATGCTAACACATCTTCGACTAATTGGCCAAAGATGTGTAACTGATCTTGCATTTTTGGATGGTTCTCGATGGGAGAATCTCATTCAAAATAAACTACCTCTATTGAATAAATTCGAATTTCGATTTTCTTATTATCAACACGTGAGTCAAGATTGTACTACTGTGGAATCGTTGATCGCACCATTTCGATCACCATTCTGGCTTGAAATTAAAAAATGGTTTGTCAAATGTGACCATGAGTACGAGGAAGAAGATCAAATATTTCGTCTCTATTCAATACCAATCTTCCAAGAATACTTTTATTATATTAACCAACAAAGCAAAATTTTCCATTCTACGTTAAACACCACTGGCATCAATACAACAATCATTGTTAGTGTGCATCGATTAATCTTAGAAATCAGCAAAATAATCACTGAAAGCATTTCCGAAGAAGTGAGCATTATTTTAAATATTCAAATCAGTAATTTCTTCTTTAACAAATAGTTTTTTCTGAAAGAAAGTTAATAGATTATTATTTGAATTTTGTTAAATACTCTATTTAGACTCATACTGATTGGATGCTAAGAAAAGTCATGATTCACACAAAAATTTGATTGCCATTGTTTTCTCATGATGATTCAGTTTGGAAGATTATAGTTATTTGTTGCTAAATGCATTCTTCATTGTTGTCAGAGTTTTTCAGAAAAATTTCAACAAAAATTATAGACTTGTCAGAAAGGATAAAAGTTATGCTAGACGTAACCATGCTAAAATAAATGTGGAAACTTCGGATTTTATCCGAAAGTTAAGTGTACTACAAAAAGTGAATGAGACAGATTTTCAGAATCACCGTTAAAATCTGAGTCGATCTATGGATTTTGTCAATCATTATGAAACAAAAACATTTTTTTCGAAAAATCCCCGTACCCCCCCTCAGGGATGGTCTTGGCCAAAAAACAGAATTTTTTTGATAACTCAGCCATTTCTCAACGGATCCTTTTCATCTTCGAACTCGACCGAGATATTCTAAAGAATAAATTATGTAGAAAGTTTCATCGCAATCTGACTCTTCTTTCGAAAGTTATCGCGGAGGCAGTCAATCTGAGGAATGGATACATTCAATATTCTATAGTGGACTCATTTGTTTGGTACACTAAAACTACGATTTGATTCAAAACTAACATCAAATTTAGAATCAGCGTTAAAAACTGAGTCGATTTGTATATGTTTTGAATAATTCTGAAAACAAATTTTTTTTTTGAAAAAATCCCTGTACCCCCCCTCAGGAATGGTCTGGCCAAAAATCAGAATTTTTTCGATAACTCAGCCATTTCTTGACGGATCCTGCTCATCTTCGAACTCGACCGAGGCATTGTTAAGAATGAACTGTGTAGAAATTTTCATCGCGATTGGACTCTGCTTTCGAGAGTTATCGTGTATACGGACGGACGGACGGCCGGACACACTGACTGATTTTAGTAATGTACTCACTTTTTGAGTACACTAAAAATGTGACTCGTCGTATAGTCAACATTTCTCCAATAAACAGGATATGTCATAAACATGTTTAAGATAAAAAGATTCAATATTCTTGTGACGTTTTCATCAAATAGACTAATTATTTTTCTTACGATGGATGATAGTTCAAAGTTTTCACTCGTAACCGTTGATAAATAGTGTTAAAAATTGTCACTATTTATTCTTACAATAAATATTTGTCATTTCTAATTCTTAAAAAAAAATACTTTCAAGCGAATGATCTGTGAAGGGATTAAATGCTTCTAAAACTAAGTGTAAATGATTGCACTGAGATAATACAATACAATTCTTTTTTTTTGTTACTTTAATAAATCATCGATTATCGTTTATAGAAGAGAGTTCTAGAAAACATCTGATTTCTCCCAAACAACGCTCCGCTTGTATCAGTTCATAGAACAGAATAGGTTGTTCAGCGAAATCACCTAACTAGGTATCTTAATTAGGTTGAATAAAATAAAATTTTCCAATATTAATATGCCGTTCTCGTAAAATGTTACAGATTTATTTAATAAATGCAAATTTTCAATGATACATATTTCGGAACATCGAAAATACGATTTATTTTTTGAATAGTTTGGTCTTACATGGAAGAATTCACTAATAATCCAATATCTCGATAAAAACACAACAAGATTATGAAATCTTTGATGTTTTCAGTCATTGCAAAAAATGCTTTATTTCTGTATTAAAAGAAATGGTAGACTTCTTCGACTTTTAGAAAATTTTCAATTTTTTCCAATTAAATTGTATTC